CCCCCCCCCCCCCCCCTCCCGCACACAGACACACAATAGACACACAGACACACAGTCACTCCATTCCTTCCTTGACTCGCCTGTGTCGTTATTCACAGATGGGAACACCCACCCACCCAGCCAAACCCAACCCTTACACACACAGGTGGAAAATTCTCAATAACAACTGACCCACCAGTCAGACACACACACACACACACCCATCGACCGACCGACCGACCGACCGACCGACCCGTACACGGCTACACAGATACATACACACATGCAGGAGGGCGACGGTAACAAGCAGGACCATAGGCAGAGGCAGGCAGACAGACAGACAGGCAGACAGGCAGACGGGCGTGGCGGAGAGTGTAGCGCCCCGCCCTCGGCTGCCGTGTCGTGTCAGTGCTATAAAATACACGTCACGTCGCCCCTTGCACGTCAATCGGTCGGTCGGTCGAGTAGAGTAGTAAGTAGGCAAGTTAGGAAGTAGGCAAGGAGGAAGGAATGCACCAACGTACGCACTTGCATTGTATGTAAGCACCACTGAGTGCCATCCATGCCAGCCATGAGGGAGCAGCCCAGCCTTATTATATATACCGATGGATGGATGGATGTATCGATCGGCCGACGGAGGGACGGATGGATGTGCTTGAAAAACAGGCTACAAGACCTGACTGACCCCTCTCCCTCTCTCTCTCTCATCTCTCATAGGGAAGCCTACCTAGCTACGTAGCTAGCTACACTCATACCCACAACCCACCACCACCACCACTACCCCCTCTCATTCAGCGTCCCTCAATACTCACTCATCCATGTTTCCATGCACTCAATCCTATCCATTCACTGTCTCTCAGGCGGCAGCGCAATCATCACCCCGCAAGGTTTGCTGCCCACGACGCCCCTGCTGGTCACAACACCTATGCGGCCCCCGGTGTAAGGCAGGGCCGGCGAGCAGACGGGCGACGGCGAGCTGTGTCCCTCGCTTGAGGTACCCTGGTAGCCGTGCACCGGCATGCTGACAGTGGAGAATGCGGCCGGGGACGGCGGGAATGAGGGCGAGGGCGAGAGGGGCTGCTGGAAGGCCTGCTGGGGCGAGAGCAGCCCCGCTGCTGCATCGGACGGGTGCAACGAGTTGCGGCGGGAGCCGTGTCTGCTCAGGGGCGGCAGCGGCATGGCGGCTGGAAGAGTGGAACGGCGACCGGATCGACCTTGGTGGCCAGACACATCTGATTACAGACAGACAGACAGACATGGATGGGACATGCCCTCTGCTTGTGCCCATTGTGGGTGTCTTGTCTGTCTCTATTCTCACCGAATGAGCCGTTGTCAGGTGTGTTGTTGCCTCCTTCAGTCTGTATGGATGTGGTGGTGACGAGCTTGCCGCCCTTCTGCCTGTACACTTGCCCCTCGGCCACACTTGACGTGTATCGCCTGTGTGCGTGTCGGTGTCGCCCGTGGCCGCACGCGGGCTGCGGGCTGCGGCTACCGTTGTGGCGCTGCGCCTTCTTGTCACGGGGAAGGCACAAGTGGCAGTGGTCGCAAAACCTAACCACAGACAGACAGACAGGCAGCGACAGACAGGCAAGATGAGCAAGGACGTGTGTGAGTCTTTTCTGTCTGCCTCTCCCTTCCCCTCCCTCCCTCTTGTCTTGGTAGTGTTGGTTGCTTACTTGCCGCGCATGCAGCCTCTCTCGGTGTAAAACCAGTAGCACCGTTTGTTGGGGCAGCAGCGGAAGCCCTCCACATGGCCCAGCGAACCGATGTTGAGCGACTCGCCGCCCAGCCGCGAGTACAGCGGGTTGGCCGCCACCGACTGCGAACGCCGCTGGCTGCCCTTGGTCGCCGACTCCAGGCCAGATGACGTCAGCGACGTGGTCCCCGTTATCGCAACCTTCTTGGCGTCGTGCTCATCGAAGTGGATGAACGTGCGGCTCACCGGCACCTTGCCCTGAACACAGACAGAGACAGACATAAAGGCACACACCACACCATGACATGAGTTAGCACTTGAAGGAAGCGAGGGCTGCAGTGCACTGCGTGTGTGTGAGTGTGTCCGTGTGCCTCAGTCAGTGACGTGACGTACGTACATCGTATATGGGCTTGGATGGCGGGGATGCGCCCGGCGACACGTCCGAGGGCGACACGCTGCCCGGCAGGTCCCCTCCCTCAACCTCCCCCTTGCCGGGGAGCTTGGCGCTCCCCTTCTTGGCCCTGCCAGTGCCGCTGCCGGCGTATGTGGTGTTGAGTGCGGGGCTCCACGAGAGCTTGCCCGCCTGTCCATTGGAGCTGGTGCACGACACATCCTCGGTCAGCAGCGGCTCGTAAGGGGCCTCCTTCACGACCGGCAAGAAGGGCGTGCCGGGCAGCGACAGCCGGGCGTACACCGACGGCGAACTGTCGGATGGCACCGGGCTGCTGGGCGTGTTGTTGTTGTTGGGGTCGGGGAGCGGGGCAGATGTCGACGCAGGTGGTATGGTCGACCCAACGCTGGGGCGCGGCTGCGCGTGCGGGGACGGCGCCGTCTTGTGGTGGGCGGACTTGCTCAGCTGCTGCGGCGGCGGCGGGGGGTGGACGGCCCGGACCAGGAAGGACAGAGGCACCTCCTCGTCGACACCACCGTTGCTGTCGTCTCCTCCTGAGGAGCCAAAGAATGACGAATCGCTGGTCGAGAGACCCGAGTTGCATGTGCTGAGGCTGGACAGCTGGATCGGGTAGGGCGACGCAGGTGCCGCTTGCTTGATGTACACGTCCAACATGCCGACGGGAGAGCCCGTGTAGGGCGGCGATGGGTCGTGGTTTGGGTGCTTGAGGGGCAGGGGCGGGTGAGACGGCGGCGGCGGCGGGAGCACCACGCCATTGCGGCTGGACGAGGGATGGTGTCGCTTCTGCTGATGCCGCTCGAGGAACATGCTGCGCGAGACACTGTGTCGCTCACACTTGGCTGTGTTGCCTGAGGCTGACGGGAGTCACCAAGCCTGTTTGGATCTGCTTGCACAGGTGTGCTGTCTACTGGTGTTGATGGTGTTGATGAGCACTCCTCTGCTGGCGTAGAAGAGATAAGCTTGTTCGGAAGCTTCTCGAAGGTGGTAAGCTGGGCTGTTTGCTGCTGGAGCGCTGTCTTGCTGCCGTCGGAGCGATCGGAGATAGCGTAGACACAGCTCCCGTCCCGCATATTCGAGAGAGAGAAGCGCGCTATATCTCTCCGAAACCTCGGCGAGCTTCTCTCGGATGCGGCGGCGACTGAAGGAGGGCGGAAAGCGCTTGGCATCGTTGCTGCGACGATAGAGAAGAGGGAGATGGTCTGAGGTTCGAATCACACTTAGAGCGGGAAGAGTTACACGGGCGAAATCTACGAGGCATGAGTTTTGCGTGTGAGACTTCTATCATCACTGAATGTGCTTCTTCCGGCATCGTCGCGTTCCTACTCGCTACCCCGAGCTACTGCACTATCGAGTGCTGACAAGTGCTAACACCACACTCTCTCTACACGTCTCGTCCTTTACCAACCACACTCTCCCTCCGTCCCCTACCACCGCCCTCCCCTCCCTCCCCTGCCAGTGTGCCACATCCATGGTCCTTGGAGATGCAATTTGATCGAACCCATTGCAACCAACACGGCGAGAAATCACCATCCATAAGTAAGAAGTCACACATACGTATGCGTCAATGCGTCCAGGAAAACAAATTGGCGCCTGGCCTGCATGAGTGCTGCAAAGCGACGCAGCCCATCCCATCGCCCTCTCACCTCACCCCACCGTCACCAGCCACCGCCCTCGCTCAGCCACCATTCCGCCCGCCACCTTATCTGTCCGCCCCAGGTCTATCTACAGCCGCCAGAGGCCTCGACAGCTTTTGCACGAGATGGCCGCTGTGCTCGTAGAGGTACGAGCCATGCGATCCTGACACACACAGACACAGACAAGGAGACATCGACAGACACAACCATGCATGCCGTTTCCGTGACCAGCGGACGGACCTGCAGCTCCAGATGGGCTCGCCGCAGCGAATGCAACTCATCACTCAGCGCCGCACACTCTGCGCGCCTCGCCTCGCTGCACACACACACGCAGTTGCAACACAATGACAGGAATATCTGAGCTGTGGTTGCTGCCGATGTCGGGGCGTCTACCTTCCGGCAACGGTGGCGGCCCGCGTGTTGGTTCGCCATCTGTGCAGGGCATGTCGCTGCATCTTGCGCCAATGGAGTACATCCGCAGCATGTGTCGACGGCATCGGCCGGACGCCCACCGAGCCGCCGAGAGGAAGGGCCGCCTCAGTCCGGTCTCCATCTTGTGGGTGGCCAGCCGACGGCCATAGACAGACAACCACAAACCACCCCCAGGCACTTTCATCGCCCCCGCCATGCTGTGATCAGTCCCGCAGCTCCATATCCAACTCCAGAAAAAGCTGCACCGAGCTCCAACATCGTGAGTCCTGGCGCGAATTGGCTCGTGATGAGCATCTTGCCCTCTTGCTCGCCGAGCCGACCCACTATTGCCAGGGTGTCGTGCCGCGTCGTGAGTTTCTTGCTTTGGAATGTCGTCGAAGCTTTCTCAGTGACACCACCCCATGCCTAAAGGCACCACGTCACCTCACTGGCTTCAGAAGAATCTTGTGCGCTGTCCACCACCCGGCCGGCCACCCACCTTGACCTTTTCCTGAGAGACGAAAAGCATTAGCACAAGTACGACGACCAATCACAATCAGATCAGTGAGGCAACCTATAGTGTCATGACCTTTTCCTCGATGTTGTCGCCTTGGTTGAGGAAAAGGAGATTCCCTCGGAGGAAACTGCTCAAGCCCATGTCGGGAGATCCATAAAGAAGGCAACGTGGATGCCTCCATGCTGCGCTCACGTTGTGCGTATGTCGCCTCGTTCGCCGGCAGATCTGATCTGTCCATTGTGTGCGTCTACAGGTGCTCCACCGGGAGTCTCCTTCCTCTTCCGACCTTTTGGTCCCCGTGAGGTTAACGAACGAACGAACGACCTTTTGCGAGCTTGGATGTTCCGGCGAGGTGTCTTCGGCCCGGACTATCATTCATTGCAAGTTCGCATGCAATCGCCCACACTCATCAACTCCATGATGGCGATGCCCGTGGTGATGGTGCTGGGGGTCTTGCTGTCCCTTGGGACGTTTGTATCCACGGAGCTCCTCATTGTGACGCACACACACACACACCATCCCCACAATCGCAGAAAAACACGCACCGGCACACTTTGCAAGTGCAGACGGATCCGTGCTGGGCGACTGTTCCTGCAGGCAGACAAACAGACGGCGACACGGGGGCTTTTTGTGAGAGGACGCTCAGACGACCGGCCAGGTGATCCAGTGCGCCGTCATCAGCTCACGAATGCGTTGCTTGGATGTGCCCCCACACGTGCGATTGATTGTTCCTCTGTGCCTGTGTGTGTGTGTATGTGGTTACTGTACGTGGATACGCAGTCTTCCTCGAGTCCTTCAAGGACTGGCTCGAATCCAAGCTGAGCCACACGCCGCCGGAAGGCATGTGCCTGCACCGGTACTACGACGGCCGGTGCTGGCTGGGCTGCCCCAACAAGGAAGAGATGACGCTCATTCGCCAGGCCGGGCCCGGCAAAGAGCCAATCGAGTAACTACGGCATCCTACACAGACACACACAGAGACACACATGGAGAGACAGACACGCAGGGTATACATACGCGCATATGGCGGTGCCTAGGTACATCCTCACTGATTTCCAGTGCACTGCGCACCTGACCACCAACCCCTGCAACCCCTTAACCAACCCCTTCAAGGACAGCAAGTGCGCTCTGCGGTCCTTCAAGATCCACAGCGACGAGGCGGGCCTCAAGCCACACACCGTCACCTTCACCCAGGGCGAAGTGATGCACAAGAAATTTGGCAGTTCTGTAGGGTGGACCCACACACACTCAAGGGTGCTGCTGGACAAGTGCGTCGACATGACTGCTCGGGTTAAAGGGCCCAAGTACAACTTCGACCCTTTCAAGCTTCAGCCTCTCACGATGGCCTACTACGACTACCCGGAGGGCCACGACGGCAAGGACCTCAACAGGACGGGCGAGTGGAAGAAAACCCCGGACTTCCCAGACTACACGTGCGAGTCCAAGGTGGAGTAGAAGCACATGTGAATGTTTCGTGGATGGATGGATGGATAGAGGCGAGACGGGCGTTGGTCCCACACAGCCGATCGCTGTGTGTACGCAAGCAGACCTGCCTTCTTTTATCCGTTGTCTTAGTGAAGGAGGACTCAATCAAACGTTCGTCACTCAGTCAGACATCTATCCAGCTAGTCGTCCGAGGCAGAGAGGGAGGGAGGGAGGGAGGGATGGAGAGAGGGAGGGGGGCAGGGGTGGAGACACACGCCGCAGCAAGGAGACACGACGTGACAGACATGTGCGGGCGAAAAGAGAGAGCGCGACGCATCACATCACACCATAGATAGCATAGCGCAGCAGAAATGTAGTCAGTCGTATAAACCTGCCGCAAGCTGGCAGGCAGGCAGGCAGCGAGGCATGGAGGAGGGAAAGCGAAGAGGCGACGCATGCAGCTTAAAGTCCGTCCGTCTACATCTAGAAAACTGCAACTGCAACTGTAGACGTAGGCAGCCGGCTGGACGTATAGGACCCCACCACTCCGCCCAGGCACTGCACCAACGAAAAGGCCGCTACATGCATGCACACTAGATAGATACCAATTACGAGCCTGTTTTTGTCTCGTCGGTGAGTGATCAAGTCATGCCATCCACACACCCCATCCATTCATCCATCCGTTCATCACGTGATGGACGGACCGGAAGCAAAGAGCCCATGCATTCAAAACCGCCCGCCCCCCTTGCACCCGCTCCCCGTCTACCATCCATCCATTTATCTAGGCGTGTATGTTATGTGCTACACCATACTTGGTTCGTTCACGCGTCTGTCTACTCAGAACCACGTGTCTGTCGAATTACACGTGATGTGTTGGTCAGCCAGCGGATCGGATCAGGGTTGGACGTCGTACATCTTGGCGTAGTACTCGTGTACCATCCGCTCGGCAGAAAACTGATACTGTAAGTTAGTCAAGTGGGGGAGGGAGACAAATGGGGTGGGCAGGAGTGTCTGGTCTGTGTCTGTGGGGGTGGGTGGGGGGTGGTTGAGCGGCGAACCTTGGCCATATCGATGGAGGCCTTCATCATGTTGATCCACTTGGTCTTGTCACCGTACGCGGGAATCACCTCCTCAGTCAGCACCTGCACACACTCACACATACCCACACACACACACACATGCATGCACCCATCCATGCATCGATGACGGTCCACAGGTACCTTGATGAGTGCGGCATGGTCCTTCTCGTAAGCCTCCTCCTCCTCACGGTTCACATCGTCACCCACCTACACACACGCATATACACACACGACACACGCTCATGCATGGTGCATGAGTGTGTGTGCGCGGGTGTGTGTGTTGGTTGCCTTGCCTTCCATCCGTTGACGCCGTGTTTGCACCCCTCAGGCCACCAGCCGTCGGGGATGCTCAGGTTCAACACACCGTTCATCGCAGCCTTCATGCCCGACGTGCCAGACGCCTGACGCGAACGATGACCACACGACAGACGCTCAGACGTGTGCATGAGTATTGGCAGGCAGTCGTGTGGCTTGCTGACCTCTTTGGGTCGCTGCGGGTTGTTGAGCCACACGTCGCTGCCGCGCGTGATCAGCGCACCTGACATACACACGCATCCAGCCAGCAGAGGGAGGGGATGGGTGGTCGTGTGTGTGTGTGTTTGTGTTGGTTGTGTGTGTGTGTGTGTGTGTGTGTGCCGGGGCATGTGTGTGTCAAGGCACCCTCCGACCAACCTAGTTTGATGTCGTAATTGGGCATGTAGACCACCGCGTCGGGGAACTCGTGCTGGTACTTGCTCACTGCACACATGACATGCCACAACACATGGCTGCAGTGCACCCAGGAGCAGCCTCGGTTGGCCACGTACTTACCCTTTTTGATCATTTCCTTGCCGCCTTCGTCCTGTGGGTGCGCCTTGCCCGAGAAGACCAGCTGCAACTTGCCCTCCTTCAACAGCGGAAACACACTACTCTGGATGCCAAGCCACATGCACCACATGCACCACACACACCACAGGCAGCACATGCAGCCGAGTGGAGTGCACTGTGGATGTGTGTGAGCGTTGCCCACCCACGCACCTCGTCCTTGAATATGAGGTTGTGTCGCTTGTATGTGGCCGCGCGGCGAGCGAAGCCAACCAGAAACACATCCTCCTTCAACCTGTGTGTGGGAATGAATGGACGATGCAGCACCTTATCCTCGTGTGTGGTGTGATTGGGGCTCTCTGTCTGTCTGTCTGTCTGAGTGTGTCGACAGCTTACTTCGAGCCGGTCCTTTCCTCGACCTCCTTGATGAGTGCCCGCTTGTTGGCCATGTGGGCCTCCCACAGCTTGGAGTCATTGTTGCTCTCTGGGGACAGACATTGTCAACACACACACATCCACACACCACACACGCAGGGAGGGAGGGAGGGAACCGGCCCCTCTGGATGACGCACCACATGCGCTGATGATCTCTGGGTCGCTCCATGAGGCGCAGTGGACGCCGTTGGTGATGGCGATGATCTCGGACGACCCGCTCACGTCCTTCCACATCCTACACACACCACACACCGGGACACACACGTGACGCGGTTGCGTATGTGTCCATCCATCTGTTCTCTCTCTCGTCTCACTCACTCCCTGGCGGTTTCTCCGTGTAGCTGTGCGACTCCGTTGCTGAGGTAGCTTAGACGCAGACCTGCTATCGTCATGCCAAACGGCTCGTCGCCGATCTGCACACACACACGCACACACACAGACAGACACAGACACAGGCAGGCAGGAACAGCCATTCATGATGGAAGCCGTTTGTGTGTCCTGTCTGTCTGTCTGTCTGTCTGTCTGTCTGTTGACCCACCCCACCTGCTTCATCTGGTCGGCGTCGAGATTGAGGTTCGCCCCGACCGTCTCCAAACGGGCCTGAATGAATCAATGAATGAAGGCATACCATACACACATGCGATGCGATGCGTTTCACTGTCGGCGTGTCTGTCAGTCGATGGTGTGGTGGGTGCTGGTTGGCTGCTCTATTGCTTACGAATGGGTGTTGTTCGTTGCCGGCGGGTACGGGAGTGTGTGTGGTGAAGATAACCTGGTTCTTGGTGGCCGCCCACGCCTGCTCGAAGGTCATCTCCGCCCCCTCCTTCTCCATCTTCTCGCGAATCAACTCTATGCCCGCAAACACTGCGTGGCCCTCATTGACTACACCATGAGACACACACACACACACACACACACAGACACAGAGGGGGGACACACACGTGTGTGTGGGTGGGTGGGTGGGTGGGTGTGGTGTGTGCGTAGACACATATATACAGTGGTAGATGTCTGTGTTGATGTCGAGTGCGCGGAGTGCCCTGACGCCGCCGACGCCGAGGATGATCTCCTGGGCCACCCGGTCCTCGTCGCTGCCCTGGTACAGCTTGTCCGTGTACTTCTTCTGGTCCTTCTTCTTCTCGGGCTCGATCATCAACAGATTCTCAGCACCCTGCACAGTGGACACACAACAACAATAACACAGACACGTTCATCCATCCTTCCATATAATGACCAGCGAGAGGGGTGGTGAGGGGGAGAGAGAGAGGAGAACGTACCTACCTTGACTCGGTGTACGCAGAGCGGCATGTCCTTGCCCTCGATCTTGACGCTGAATTTGATGCCCTCCTGCTTGATGAGTTGGGAGCGGTCCGTGGCGGGGTAGCTGTCCTTCGTGTTGCCATCCTTGTCGATCGACTGCGACACGTAACTGACACACGAATTGTATGTCGACACACATACAGGCAGACAGCGAGAGGCCGACAAACAACATGCATGCATGGTTCGCGTCGACTATGTGTGTCGTCTCTCCCTCCCTCCCTCCCTCCCTATCCCAGCTGACTGACCCCGAGTTCCAGAAGATGCCGATGCCATACAGCGGCAGGTTCATCTGAACATGCCACACCACACACGCACACACACACACACACACACACACACATGCATCTCTGTCAGTCTGTCTGTCTGTCCGTCTGTCTGTCTGCGTGTGTGTGTGTGTCCGCCCCGTATGCGTTGTCTGTGTATGTGTGCGTTGCGTACATCTCTGGATTGTTTGACGATGTCCGCCGCGAGGATGCCGAGTCCGCCGCTGTAGATGGAGAATCCCTGCCGGAGGCCGTACTCCATGCAGAAGTAGGCCACCGACTTGCGGCGGAGCCGCTTCGCCTGGGGCTCGTCGCTCATGACGGAACACACCGATGGAAAGATGGACAGACAGAGGGAGCAGAGGGAGGGAGGATGTCCACGCAAGCGCCCAGCGCTCCGCCAGCCAAGATCTCCCTGAGGCTCCTGCGAGCTTTTGAGCGAGCTCGTCTGCAGACCTTCGTGCACGACTCATCAAAATGGCGCATATTGAGGCTGGCGAAGACGCAGATTTTGGATCAGAGGAGGCCCAGGGCGATGGTTGTCAGCCTGAAGGTGACCAGCTTGGTTCAGCGTACGATGCATCCGGTGCGTCAGGAGGGCCTGTTCTGAGCAAGAGTCAGCAGAAGAAGAAGCGAAAACACGAGCGCTATCTGCAGAGGAAAACCCAAAGGAAAATCGATAGGAAGGCCAAGAGGCGGAAGAACAAACAGCCGCAGACTGTCGATGATGGGGCTGCCGCAGCTGTCGATGATGGGGAGCCACAGCCGAGCATTGCGCCACAGGAAAACTCTTCTGCCAGTCGTGAGCCGTCAGAGAGGAAGCGGCGCATGAACGAAGGTACCTGCCGTACGGACGTGGACACTTCACTTCTGTGATGACACACGAACACACGGGACCACAAAGGACGCGCTGGTGGGTGGCCTCTCTCTTTTCGCTCAGAGTTTGTGGCAAAGTGCGCCGATGCGCCCACTGTGGTCATCGATTGCGAATTCGAGCACCTGCAAACTGACAGGGTGAGTGAGCAGACAGACACAGCCACCGTACCGTGTGGCATATGCACGTGTGTAACGAAACGGATCATGTGTGTGTGCGTGTGTGTGTGTCCACAGGAGGTGTCCAGTTTGGCCCAGCAGATCTTCTTCTCATACGGCGCGAATCGTCGAGCCCAGCAGCCTGTGCGCATCCTCATCAGCGGCATCAGGGAAGGCAGCCGCTACACCACGCACTTCAACAAGATCAGTGGATTCGCCACATGGCCCGCGGTGAGCTAGCTGTTTGACACACACCTAGATGACTTCGTGCCATCCTTGGCCATGCCAGTCTGTCTGTCCGTGCCTGCCTGCCTGCAGGTGGAGACCATCAGCAAGCCGTACATCGAGCACATCGAGAAGGAAAGGTGTGCGACGAGCAATCCACACACACGACAGACACACACACACACACACACACACGACAGACACACGACAGTGTGGGCGTTCGGTCTGTGTGTGTCAGGCTGGTGTATCTGACGGCCGACAGCCCAATGGTGATCGACGAGCTCGACAACAGGTGACTGACGATCTGATCCATGAGGCAGTGCATTCACGCGTTGGCACCTTATCCCCCAATTCTCCCTCTGTCTGGCTGGTGCATCCCCCGGTGCAGCAAGGCGTACATAATAGGCGGCATAGTTGACCGCAATCGGTACAAGAACCTCACCCTCAACAAGGCCACTGAGCAGGGCATCGCCGCCGCTCGCCTGCCCCTCGACAGCAACATCAGAATGACCTCATCGAAAGTGCTCGCCGCCAACCACGGTAGGTACGCACACACACACCACACCGCACCACACCACACCGCACTACACACCGCCTGTCTTTGTTTCTGTGTGAGTGAGTGTGTTAAGTGCTGGAGATACTGCTCAAGTGGCTGGAGTGTCGTGACTGGGCGGTAGCGTGCAGCAAGGGGGTGCCACAAAGGAAGACAGACGGCATCAGTGAAGGTGGTGAAGGTCCGGCACAAGAAGGTGAGGAGGCCGACGACTGTTGTGCTGGAGCAGGGCAAGGAGGGGAAGCAGGAGAGCAAGAAGGGATGTGCGGGGCGGGGCGGGGCGGTGGCGTCAGCTAGCTGAGCGGTGCTCATGTCCTTATATGTCAGTCACGTTAACTCGATTGGTCGAAGGATGCATATCAATCACATGGGTGGCACGTGTAGATGTTTCCGTTTCCGTTTCTGTTTCTGTTTCTGCCAGTCGATGTGGTGTACGTGTGAGAATTGTGAGTATACACACTGCCTGTATAAATTACTGATGCACGCCATGGACACATTCCTGCACATCCCACCCATGTCACTCGTTCAAGCGCGTCATGGCATGCATGAGTCAGCCCACTCGGACACATACACGTGTCCACACACGCACCCTTGACGCAGACCGGCACGCGCTCCCCGCCCTCCCCCCCACCAGACCGAGGAAAAGGCAAACACACGAAAAGCAAAAGAAGCTTTGTCATCCCAGCCGCAGGATGCAATACACCATCCCCGTGTTTCCAGCCATGTCATGACCCGCAGCCCGCGATCGGCCTCCTCTACCTATGGCGAGGCCCCACTGCCCATCCGGCCGGCCAGCAGCTGCCCGGCCGGTTAGCTGTCTATCGCCTGAGTCGGGTGATGAAGGCAGGTTTGCGACGCTTGAGTGAGGGGATCCTGTCGTCGAATTTCAGGGCCTCCATTTCGCCCGCCTTCCTCCCCCAGTGGACACACGCCACCTTAAGACGGCGCAGATCCCTCGCACCCTGAATTGAATGAATGAACGCACACTCCTTTCCCCATGCAGTGCAAACAGATGTATGTATTCCACCCATATATGTTTTCAGCCGTCTTTCTGCCCACCCGACCGACCAGGAAGGTGCAGACGTGACTTATGAGTTCGTCCGGCATCTGGTGGTGCGATGTCGATAGCGAGGGGGAGAAACCCACCAGCGGCACCTCCTGCACCTCCCCAGGGGTCGCCTGACTCTCCACGTCCACCGAACTCGCCACCGTCTGTGCGGATGAGGCCCCTGAGCACATCCATCCTCCCCGAGCCTTCTTCACGGCACCGGCCTTGACTAGTGGTCTATCGGGGCGGCCCTTGCGCTTGCTGGGGAACAGGCCGCGGCAAAGGCGCTCCAACTCAGACACCGCATCGCGGGAACAGGAGCCCATGGCTAAAGGGCGGGAATCGGCTGAGGGCGGTTTACAGACACGTGTAAACAAGCGCGAGGGCATTGGTGATCATGTACCACACACGAGTAAAGCCTAAAGCCACCAGGGGCACACGGAGTCGTCTCTGATTGATTGATCCATCCATCATCCATCAGTCTGGCTGGGCTGCGGGTGTGAAACATCAAGATAGACAGACGGAGCTGACTTGGGATGCCACAACCCTGCCTTGCTGGCCCCGCTCCTCACCTGCACACACACATGCCATGCACACAAGGGATAGATCAAGAGCTGACATGTATGTGTGTGTGTGTGTGTATGCGTGTGTCTGTGCTGTCGCTTGCCTCTCAGCAGTGCGGCGGCAAGCTGGTCTTGCTCCCGCCTCAGCATCTGCTCCCCCGCAGACACGTGACGCGGTGACGGGTACGGCGGCCTGTAGGTCTTCCACGATACGACTGCCATCACAGCCACCAGCGCCCCCACCGCTCCTAGAGTCATGAAGCCAGTGTGGTAGTTGGTCCACTCAGTCAGGCCGCCCACAATCAGCGGCCCCAGCAGCACACCGACGTTGAAGCCTTGCTCCACCAGCCCGTAACTCATGCCGTAGTCGGTTCGTCTCCTGTCGGCCAGGAATTTGCTGCCGGCGAAGGCGGTGGCGCATGTGTCGACGGTGCCGAACCCGATGCCGAACAAGGTGAGGAGGAAGGCCTGTAGACGCCAGTCAGGGGGCGTCACGATGAAGGCCAAACAGACTGACGCAAACAACAGGCCTGACAAATGCACATTAACACACACACGCACACCCACACAAATTCATTCATTGCCACGCGACGGGCCGGCGGATGCGTGTAGGGTACCAACCGTACCGATGCTGTATTGGCCGGTTAATGTGGCGAGCCCGAAGTCGCTGAGGAGGGTGGCGACCGGTGACACCACCACCTTGATGAATGCATTTGGCGAGAACAAAAGACCCGTCAGCGTCGCACTCAGACCAAACCTAACATAGACACGACACACAGACACACGGGGGGGACACACTCACACATACGGAAACCAACACGGCAGATGGCTACCTACTTGCGATGCCAGTAAAGGGGCAGGAGAGCGGGCAGGGCTGTGGCAAACGCATAGATGCAGCACACCGCCACCACGGCCACAACGTAATGGTAGTTCAAGAACACACGATAACCCTTGGTGCTGTGGTTGAGCGTCTCGCTCTCACTCGGATGCTCGGGCACCGGCAGATCGTTGGGAAAGAAGGCAAAGAGCATTGCCGTGACGACGGTCGCCGCAGCACAGAACACTATCATAAACGAGAAGAGCATCGTGGTGCCGCCCCAGTCAAAAAGCACGCCCCCAATCAGCGGGCCTATTGCGATTCCAACGTCGGCAGTCATCACCAGGCCAGTCGCCGTCGCCTGGATCTCGGGCGGGTGGGTGCGCGCAACGCCACCTGCATTCACGGGGGCACACAGGCAGGCAGGGAGGGAGTAAGTGTTGCCCACACTGGTGCAACCAACGTGGTTGGTGTGCTCGGCTCGCTCACCCAGTGCCGCCGTCCAAATGAAGGCACTGGCACACCCCTGCACCAGCCTCGCGGCCACATAGACAGTGAAGTCGGCTCTGTAAAAGTACACAATGCTGCCTGAGCGAGTGAGTGGACAAAGAGAAACGAAACGACCAACGGATGAATGACGTACCAAACCATGAGTGGCTGGCTGTGTGTCGGTTCATTCACCGAGCGTCAGCAGCACGCCAGGAAAAATGATGAGTGGCCGCCATCCCATAGCCTCCGTCATCCATGAGGCGACGGGCGTCACGATAATGGAGCTGACAGGCCGAGCGGAGAAGACGGCCGACTCACGAAGCGGCGACAGATTCAACACATACGGCAACGCTGCAGATACCAGCGGCATGCGAACATCCATCCAGCATCCTCGATTGTCTTAATCGCGTTGTGCTTGTGGTCACCTGGGACAATGATGGTGTCGAGCATGGTGGAAGTGAAGATCTGCAGCCACGCCTGACGGAGAGGGACGCAACACAACACAACACATGACACAACGTGTGCGCCAATGAACTTGTGTGAGCTCACATTTCCTATTGTGCTCAGGCACAGCAGCTTCCTCTCGGGCCCTGCTTGCGGCCGTTCCATGGATGGATCAATTCAGGGCGGTACTCATCTCATACATGAGCTCATCCTCAAGCTTGAACTGAGCAGCAACGCAACAGACAACGGAGCAATACTATGAGATCTGCCCTATACTTGATCATCGTAGCCTTCCGGGATCTACCTTCATCCTGCCATCGCGGCAGCAGCGGTTTCACGCAATGTCCTAGGCGCGTCCATGCGAGCTCATTGTGCGATTGAGCCTCGTTTCTCCGCCGCAAACAGACGAGAGAGGATACATGGCGCTGAGTTGAGCCTATCCACTGATTTTTTTTTTTTTGGAAGAGATAATTGACAGATGGCATCCATGCACTCGCTTGTCCAAATCGCCTCCATGAATCTATCCACATATGCCTATGCACAAAGGGCACGCTCACTCATCCGATGAGAACACCCCAGCCCCGTCCATCGCCCCAACACCACGCCATGACTGCCTCCCGCCCCTCAAACACAGGCTAGCAGCCCGCACCAATGCAACAGACAAACGAGCACGCAGCCACCCATGCACCCGCCCTCGCCCCCTATCTGACCACCCCTGCCTCGTCAACAGCTGCTCAGTCAAGCGGGTGAAGAAGTGCTCCGCCTCCCTCCCCCACACCCCATCGACGGTGACGACCAGAGGGGTGAAGGTCATGGACAGGTCCTCGCAGACCTATCCACTGAAGAAAATGCGGAAAATGATGGAGATCTGACGCCGTTTGCAGCTGACGACGCCTTGCCGGTGCTGATCTGAAGCCACCATCTGCCCTTTACCAAGGCCTCGGCATGACACCAACATGCCCATCCATCCTACCCATGTTCTGGTCCACAGTCACGGCAGCGTCAGTCATCTCCTCTTCTCTGATGCTTGCCCTGCTGCCGCTGCTGGGCTCTGCCGTGGCTTATGGTGTGCTCAAGTGCGACCCCAACTGCGCCCGCTGCCATCTGCAGGACTGGGATCTGCAGTGGGTGTGCTATGAGTGCGACGAGGGGTACACCATCTGGCGGGACCAGTGCGTGCCGCCGTGCACCACCGGCTTCTATCGATTCGGGGGAGAATGCAAAGGTATCTACGTATGTATGTGTGTGTGTGTATCAAGGAGGGAGGAGGGAAGGAGACCGACATGCGCATCATGTCCTTCGGGAGCGGGAGGGAGCATGTGCGCGTGTGTGTGTGTGTGTGTGTGTGTGTGTCCTATTCAGCGTGTGTGGATCACTGCGATGAGTGTACGGGGCCGCTGGAGTTCGAGTGCACCAAGTGCTCGGGCGGCTATGTTCTAGACGAGCGGCGGCTGTGCCTCACTGTCTGCCTCGATGGCGAATTCCCTCTCGCCGACGGAAGCGGATGCGCACGTCAGCACACACACACACCGAGGCGGACAGCAAATCAGGTACCTTTATATATTTTCTCCCTGTCCTTCCATCCATGTTGTGTGCCCGCAGCGTGTCACAGCAGCTGCCTGACGTGTGTGGATTCGTATGAGATCCACTGCACATCGTGTCTGGCGCCCAACACGCTGGTGCCTCACGTGACAGACGCCACACGGGCCAGCACTCAGTCCTCCACAGGCATGTGTGTGGCGCCCTGCCCTGAGCAGAACAGCACCTTCAGAAAGACCACCTACTACAGATTCTGCAAAGGTGCGCACGGCCGATAAACTAAACCGACACAGGTGCATCAATCACCCCGTTTGTTTGTTTCTGTTGCTTCCGTGATGTGATGGTCAGATTGTCCGGAGCACTGTGTGCGGTGTCAGTCCCCCTACACGTGTGACGAGTGTGCCGAGGGCTACACGCTCATCACCGGCAGATGCCAACTATACAAAGACACCGTACAGTACACACACACTTACAGTCAGGCAGCCACATGACTGACATGCCTGTGAGTGAGTGCGGTGTGTGCCACCTTGATTGCGTTGGTCAGTCTGAGGATTCCCGATTCGACGATTACTTTGGCGATGCCGACGACAGGTTCGCTGACTGGCGACCTGACTTCAACTTCAGTAAGATGGGAACGGACACAACGCATCACACGACCGACCTGCAGCCATCACACCGGCCTGTGACGTGCGTGTGATTGTGTACTTGTGCAGCGAAAGACCTGTGGGAGAAAATGTGGGAGGAATGGCAGAATGGGTCGTGGCCGGGCGGCAACCCTTTCGGATGACCGAGTGAGTCAGAGAGTGTGGTGGTCTGCTCAGTGCCGGCTGCTGTGCATACTTTCGCCATCGGCTGGCCGATCAGCGTGCCGTTCTTGTGATCGATGCTGTCAAGAGAGGCGGGCGCTGTCAGAGAGGCGTGGCGGTGTGATGAGACAGTGAAGTATGGCTTTGCTTGTCTGTGACTATCCTGTGTCGGCTGCTCTGCTCCTTGCCTGCAGTGCTTCGCTGTCTACTCCCCGGAAGGGCAGCGCAGCACTTTCTGTGTGGTTGCCCCAAGTGTGCAGTGAGCAAGGTTGGATGACCTGTTGGTTTTGCTTGTACAGCTGTGAGGGAGCGGGTGCCTTGTCATTTCGGCGGATGGATGGATGAATGGATGGACACCTGTGGACAGAGGGTGATTCCAAGCCAAGGAGCTGGCAGTCTGGTCAAGCAACACGCACTGATGATAAATCGGTCATTTGCAATGGAAAAGCTGCGGTTTTTGGGTCACGAGCTGGTGAGTCTGGGCAGGAAGCTGGCTTTCATGGACGTTTTCCAGTTCCACGGAATGGATCGCCAGCTTTTCGGCTAAGCTCGCAGCTTTGGCCTCCCTGTCGTGAGAGAGGACTCCTGCAAAACGGTGGATGATTGTTTCATCGTCGGCTGTGATTGTAGCTTTCAGTGATGTAGGATGGGCGGGTCAATCGACAGTGATTGAGTGCCGACTCTGAAGGACTGAGATGGTAGATCTGAGGCGGGAGTGAGCCGTCGCCGCGAGCCTCAGGGCAGTGAGGACGCCTCATACAGGTCAGCCCCTGCTGAATGAGCTCCACACACAATGTGGAAGCGACCGTCTTCCCTCTCTCTCGGTGTTGTTATGCAGATGCAGTCGCTGCTTGGGTTGTTTGGTGGGCGCCAAGAGGCGGCCGCATCTTCTCAGCCACCACCCACCCACATGCCTTCATCTGGCCCGGTAAAATGAATGACAACAAAGGCCTTCTTGATTCTGCTGTGTGGTTCATTCATTCTGCAGACTGAGGAGGAGTATTCAGATGAGAGGCAGTTGGACGACCTGCTCTCGCGGCAGGGCCTTTCTCTCGGCGCGATTCTCGGCAGGAACCAGAGCCCTCAAAGCCGGCAGCTGACGACCTCAATGCTGTGCCGCACCGCCAGATCAGGCGACGACGTGTCGAGGCTCTGTCGTGAGGGCGGAGCTGACCCGAGTATCGCCGTCCAGTTGGAGACGGACCATCCAGAAGGCAAACACCTGACGATATTCAGCAGCATCCTCTGCCTGGCCATCGATGACATCAATAGTGCTCCTCCACTCATCGCGGCCGGCCGGCAGCTCAAGCTGCCATTGTGGCCCTCGCGAGAGCTGCAGCGGGAGGTGCTCGAGGCGCTCATCGCTGCTGGTGCGGGTGTGGACGGCCGTCCGTGTGAAATCACACCCCTTCGAGTGGCCGTGTTGTACGCCCAATGTGACGGCTGTGGAGGTGCTGCTCGCCCATGGTGCGGCTGTACGCGGGATGCGGCTGGCTTTCTTCCGATTGAGCGACCGTCCATTCTCGCCGAGCCCCCAATATGAGCCTGCCCTGCTGGAGGTCTATCGCCAACTGCTTCAGAAGGACCCCACGGTGGCCAGCGAACATACCGATGAGGGCAACACTCCCATGCACTGGATCGCTGTGGAGAATTCGTCGCTTTCACTATCGCCAGATTTCATGCACAGCTACCTGGACCTACTCGCGGCCCACGGCGCCGATCTCATCGCGAAGGACGCCAAGGGCTGTACGCCCTTCGACTACGCCGTGGTTCAGGGCGGTGGCGATGTGGTGGAGTGGCTGTTGGAGCAGCTCGGCACCAGTGAGATCGACAAGAGCCATCCGTTGGGGGGCACAACGCCACTGACGGCGGCTGACAGTCATCTTAGTGACCAGCTGAGAGCGAGGGCTCCACTGCAGCAGATCGATAGGGCCAAGCAAGTCATCCGCGCACTGCTCAGCAACGGTGCCGACATCCAGCTGATGCGCAGAAGCGGTCGAAAGGAGGACATTCCGCACAGGCTCGTGCAGGACATCCAGAATGAGATGCACAGCCAGCTGAGCGCCCCAGTCGAGCCGCCGCCTGCCCCTGGCAGCAGGTGGGAAGACACACACACACGAGTGAGTGGGCGTGCGCGGGGTGGTCTGTCACTTGACTGTGCTGTCACTTAAGTGTACGGACTGGTGCCGTCAAGAGCGACACGGCCGAGCAGCCACCTGCCTCTTCCTCTGCAGTTGATCCTCCTCGGTAAACGCTGCACCATAGTCACAGCCCGGCTCACCTTCCTGCGTCATGCGTCTTGACAGGATCCGATCTGCCCCTGGTGCCTTCCCCACCACGCAAGACACGCCGGAGCCCGTGTACGAGCGCACTTTGCGGGAGCTGCTGCAGCCACAGGGATACGGCCTGCGCACCACATGGCGATGACAGCCCCGCCGGCCGCGAACTCGCCTACCGCATCATGGGTCGTTCTTTTACCTCAGCTGATGGTGTGATGCGTCTGCATGAAGCCGGCGCGAGGGCCGACCTGGGTGTCCAGCTGCGTGTGGGCCCTGGCTACTGGGTCGGACAGCTGGCGACCGGGATCAGCATACTCTCGCTTGCTATCGACGATGAAACCAATGACGCGCCTCCCGTCGTTGAGCACCATGGCGGCCGGCAGCTCAAGCTGCCAGTGTGGACCTCACGAGAGCTGCAGCGGTCGGTGCTCGAGGCACTCATCGCTGCTGGTGCGGATGTGGACGGCTGCCGGCCTGCAGGGCTCGACGAAACTCGGCGGCCGCTCCGTGTTGCCGTTCTTTGTGCCAACAAGACGGCTGTGGAGGTGCTGCTCGCCCACGGTGCAGCTGTGCGAGGGCTGGATGGGCTGGATGAGCTCGTGTGTCCGCCGCTCAATGAGTCCTGGGCAGCGTCCATCACTAGTACAAATGCCCGGCTATTCGTGATTCAGCTGAGCGCCCGCTATCAGGAAGCCTTTGTGACCATATGCAGCCGTCTCTTCGACCATGATCCAGCCCTGGTCAACGAGGCGTGTGACGGAGAGGGCGCCTTGCACATGGCGTGCATGGCCTCACGAGCGTACCCAGCGGCCTTCATACTCGGCTACCTCGAGTTGTTTTTGCGGTACGGCGGCTCTCTGACTGGGAGGAACAGCGGAGGCCAGACGCCCCTGGACATGGCTGTGTCTTGGGGTGCGCCCAGTGCGGTTGCCTGGCTGTGTGAGCGGCTGGACACTGCGGAGATCAACGCCGCCCGCGTGTCGTCATCCGTTGTCCATCAGTGGTGCTCGCTGCTCGGCCCGTCGGACGTCACCAGTGGGAGGCCATACATGATGACAGCTCTCGAGGAGGCTGCCGTCGGCCTCGCACAGCAGCACAAAGTCAAGCCTGTCGATGGGAGCAAGGTCGGCATTCGGAGAGAAATCATCCGTGTGCTGCTTCAGCACGGTGCATCGGTGGGCTGTATGCGCACTGACACCCCTGGGCAACGGCAATTGCGCAGCTTGGTGTTGGGCATCCAGCGAGAGATGGGTCTGCAGCTGTGCGCACCACAGGAGGAGCTGGCCATGTCGTGCCCCCCTTCTCTATCCCCGTCCACCCCATGCCTTCCCCCGGTGATCGAGTGCCCATCGTCATCCGCCCTGCAGCATCAGCAGCAGCAGCAGCAGGTCTCGGCGCAAGTCAAGGAGGCGACAAACACGGCCCAGGCCATGAGGAAATCGGCCAGGAAGGCACTAACACGGGAGGGTCAGGAAGCGATCACAGTCAAAGTGGCCAAGAAGGCTTCCACTGCGGGTGGGCAGGTGGATACGATCGGCTTCGAGTGGGAGCTTGCCGGCCTGCAGCACACGCAATGGGCGGCCGAGCCGACGGGTGAGGCGTTGCAGGCGGCTATGACGGCCGGTCGGGTATTGGTGGATGGCGTCATGGCCTCATCTGTCTGGAAAACGTGTGCTAATCGGAGTGAGTGCAGCTTCACCGGCAAGGAATCCAGGCTGCTGGGCTACCTGCGTGGCATTCCAGGTGTGTACACAGGCCGGGAACGGGCACCGGCCGCGTACTCTACGTTTCCTCTCTCTCTCTCTCTCTCTGTGTGTGTGTGTGTGTGTGGCAGGCGCTGTGGACACTGAGAGAGCCGCTCGCTGCGATGCTGCACCACATGCACCACAAGCCGACAGCCCCCTGCCTCTCACCACTGCTGTGCGCTTCATCCTGGCGCTTTTTGAGGACCACGGAAGAGGACTTCGCCTGCGCTCTACTGAAGAGGACTTCGCTACGCGCCAGCTGAGAGTGGCATCTCAGGCGTCGTGTCGCATTGGCGGCGAGCGCGTGGGTCTGCATCTCGCGCCCACGATGCATTCGGCTCGGCCGACCTGCCTGTTGTGTGGGCTGGCGCAGTGCGCTTTGCGGAGTTGACAGAGGGGTGTATCAGCATGCTCTCGATCCTTCGCGGCAGCCTGTCGGACTTCGAACGGAGCTCCGTGAGAAGTGCAGCCAGAAGGGCTCGTACACGCGTGCTCCAGGATGCCTGCGATCCGTCCGCAGCTCCTGAGAGTGAGACCCCCTCATCATCATCGTCGTCATCTGCCGCCCCGCCCGCGCCCCTACATACAGAGGGCATCGAGGCCACAAGCAGCACCAGCACCAAGCAGCCACGAGAGGCACGAGCAGCGGAGGGCGCCGGGCAGCGAAAGGCGAGCAAAGCGATGAGCAGCAGCGCAGGGGGCCGGCGGGGCAGTGGACGGCAGCCGCGGTCTGCACCCAGGTCAGCAGGCACTCGCGAAGGGAGTACTCTATGTCGATGCCAAACAACCCTCACTCCTTCGGTTCCTCAGTCCGTTGGATGACACTAATCCGTCTTCTTCTCCATCTGCGGGGCTCTTCTGGTAAGCCGTGCCGTGCACCACCGTCGCACAATGTGGCCAGCCGAGAGAACTCGTTCTCGCTTCCATGTGTGTCAGTATGCCTTTGGGTACTCGATTCGCGGATGCATCTCCGTGTGACAAGTCTTTGCCTTTGTCCGAACTCTCAGTACCGCCAGAAGGCATCAAGGTGCGGGTTGCCGCATATTGCTGGGAATAAATGGATGTGCTCTGTACCGGTTGCGTGCTGGTTTCCAGGCTTCCGCGAGAGGTGTCGATGCTCCGCATTTGGAGCAGGTGGAGAGCCTGCTTCGATCCCAGGGCCTATCAGTGGCGAGCTTCGAGGTCGCTTGCCGCGCATCCACGGCCACAAGTGCCTCTGCGTCTCAAGAGCTACTATGTCGGACCGTGTGCCGTACACTGGCTGGCCCCGACGTGTGGCGGCTGTGCGGGGACGGCGCTGACCCAGAGACCGCTGTCGGCATGGGCAGGGAGCCAGCTCGGGAGCCAGTGGCGCTGCCATACTGGCTCGTGCTGGGCGGTTCCGGGCCAGTGCGTGTGAGTGTCCTCTGCCTCGCTGTTGATGACCCGTTCAACAGCTGCCCGGCCACTTGGTCCGCTGTGACGCAGCAGCTGCGCCTTCCTCCCTGGCCCACTTGTCAAGTGCAGCGTGAGGTCCTGCGGGCACTCATCGCTAATGGTGCAAAAGTCAACGCCGGCATCGAAGAAGGCGTATGTCCTCTTAGCGTGGCCCATCAGTGCGCCAACGTCACCGCGACTGAGGTGCTGCTCGAGAACGGGGCGGCGGTCCGCAATGAGTATGACGATGCACCGCTGATCTCATCACAGGATCAGGGAATCATGCTATCCATGGGCCTGGCCCTTGCTAACTTCAGCCCGAAGGCGGCAGCCCCATCGCAGCCCAGCCCTCCCTATGAGGCGGCACTCCTCGAGGTCTATCGCCTACTGTTTGAGCATGACCGTGCACTCGCCAGCGGACGCCTCTCTGGAACGACGGCCATGCACATGGCCTCTCAAGCCTCACCCACGTTGTCATCAGCATTCATTCGTTCGTACCTGGACCTGCTGACGGCCTATGGTGCCTCCTCTGATGCCACAGCCGATGATGGGACGACGCCACTCGTCATGGCCGTCTCCTGTGGTGATGCCGGCCTCCCGGTGGTGAAGTGGCTGTGTGAGCGGCTCCGACCTGGTGAGATCAACCTCAACTTTCGGAGTGGACCGGGGCAGGGAGCCACAGCATTGGGCCAGGCCGCGTACCGTCTCACGGACCAGCTCTGCGAGCAGAGGGCCCCACCAACGAAGATCGAGCGACAGAAGGAGATCATTCGCGCGCTGCTGCGACACGGTGCATCCGTCGACAGACTGGCGGCAGACACTCCCTTTCGGCAACGGGCGCGCAGTTTCGTGCACGAGATCCAGGAAGAAATGCAGCAGCGCAACAGTGAGAGGGAAGGCAACCCGGGTGAAGGGGCCAAGGACGAGGGCGGCACCGGCCGGGCACAGCGGCCTGCATCCAGAAATGCGGGTCATTCTGAGCCGAGTGAAGCGTCCCTGCCCACTACTGCTGCATCCACAAGGTAGGGAAGACCAGAAGCGCCTTCACTGTGGATGCAGAAGAATGCCGTCCTGCCTCTTCGTGGCTGTGGTGCGCGCAGCCGGTCGTCTGCAGCGCTCAATGAGGGCGCACGTCCATCTTCTTCGTCCACTGCCAGCACGTAAACGAAACACTCAATCGATACACGCTATGACCGCCTCTTCTTTGTGCGCATCGTCTGTGGCTTGTCTGCTCTTGGCAGGGGTGCTGCGACCTCCGCTCCGAGTGCAGCTGCCGTTGTCCACTCCCCTGCCGACAAGTGGAGAGCCACAGGAAACGACCTTTTTAAGCGTGACAAACATCTCGACGCCTATCGGGCATATCTGCAGGTGGGGGGCTGAACACGTGCACGCGAAGAGCGTCTTCAACCCACGATGCTGCTGTGATCTCTGACTGTGGGCTGCAGGGTATCCGAATGGAGCGGGAGACTCTCGGCGAGCTGCTCGTGCGCCGCGCCCAGTGCCTTATCGGTGTCGAGGGCTACCTTGACGCCTTCCTCGACGTGACGACCGTCCTCCGCATCCTTCCGCCTCTCCCATCCGTCGACCCTGGCAGCAAATGCGCCACCATTCAGTGCACGGCTGTGGGACTGTACAAGGGCCTGATCGAGCAGCTTTGCGCCGGCCCAGGGAGGCGTCGACAGGGTCGACGCCGTGCGGCTGACGTCGTCTTGCCATCGAAGGAAGCGATCGCGGCACTGATGAAGAACGCTATGGCGAAACTCTGCTCGACAGAGCGGCAGATGCCAGGCAGCCCGCGGCAAGTAGCGGACGCGCTGGCGGAGGGCGAGATGCTGCAGGGGGTTGAGAGGTACGCCGAGGCGCGCGACGTCCTTACGGCTGGTCTGGCTACTGCTGATGTGGAGACCCTTGTGGCGCTGCTCAGCAACGCGGCTGCATGTCTGCTCAAGCCGGAGCTCATCAAGGAGGGAGGGCCGGACGCTGTTGGCTGTGCTGCCGCCGCCTTTCATCTGAGCTCCCTGCAGGCGCCCTGCGAGCAGCTGAGTGATATCCAGCAGAAGACGCTCATTCTGCTGGGCCACGGGCTGCTGTCGGAGCGGCTGTTCGATGCTGCCGACGCAGTCACCAAGGCACTCGGCGACAATGTAAGACGATATGATACGACGCAAATGAATCAAAAGGGGACATTGATGACGATTGACGCTTTTCGTGTTTTTCTTACCAGGGTTTGGAGGGTCAGATGACGACAGAGGCCAACGCGCTGCAGCAGCGCATCCACACTCACATGGCCAATGCCAGCGGCGTGTACGACTGGGCGGCGATTTATCGACATGCAAAGGGCAACGCGCGAAACACGCCGCCCGGCAAGTCGACGACGCCAATCGACGTGGGCGAGTACGTCGGCCCGGTCGCCATCCAACACGCACCCAACAGACAGCCCTGCCTCATCGCCACAGAGAACATCCAGCCCGGGCAGCTTTTGATCGTCCAGAAGGCCGTCATCGCAGTGCAAGCGCCCACAGAAGGCATCCAAGGGCGGCTGTTGGAGCGGCTGGTATCTCAGCGGATGCTGCCCCAGTTAGTGGCCGCGTGTGATGGTTGGCACCCTCGGCTGCTCTCTCAGCTGTGCTGCTTGCCGCTTAGCAAGGGACAGCCCTCGGCCATGGCGTTGACGCTGGATACGTGTCTTGGGCTGACTGTGGAGTTTCCCCTTCTGCCGAGGTTCATGGATTCGCCGGCAGGAGAAGAGTTCGGTCAGCCTGTCGTGCAGCGGGGCTACTGGACCACCGATCGCCTCCGCCAGCTGCTCGACTTTAACACTCGCGTGGTTGATGATGTCATTGACACCTCCCTCGTCCCGTCTGTGACGGGTGAGAAAACAAGGCACGGGAAGATGCAATGCACGGCTTCACACTGTGTGTGGTCTTGGCCTGCAGTGGGCCTGTGGCCGTTGCCCTCGCAATCCAGTCATGCCGGCGCGGAGCGCAACGCGATCTGGTAGGCGACTAACGTGGCAATGACAGGGAATCTTCTTGCTTCTTTCACACATGTATGTCTTGTCCGGTTCACACAGGTATGTGGTCGATGGGGTCATGATCGTGCGTGCAGTGCGCCCCATTCCCACGGGCAGCGAGGTCACGGTGTCCTATTTGAGCGATACCTTTATCTCTCTCGCCAGCTGGAGGGACATGGCAAGTCGCCACCAGGTCCCTGGGCCCCAGTACAGCTCGCGGGCGACGTCAGTCATGGAAGAAGTGGAGCAGCAGCTGCGGCGGCTGTCCCTCACGCACGCGGAGAGTGCGCTACGTGAGCTGGAGCAGATGCTCCGGAGAGTCCGCGAACTGAATGTCGATACCCCCCTAATAACGAGGATGCTGCACATGCGTGTGTCCATGCTGTACGCCAATTGGCGGGACGAGGAGGGCCATACGGCCATGCGTGAGGTTCTTGAGTATTCGCGGCAACGGCGGTCGTTCGACGTGGACGACCTTGGACTCATGGCCCTCCACATGTCGTCAATCCCCAGCGGTGAACCGGAGCGAATGGAGATTGCCGACGAGCTCAAGAAGTCGTGTGAGGTGCTGCTCGGCACGAGCGAAGCATCCGACATTCTCTACTCTGAGGAGGACCCACACGCGAGATTTCGGGTTGGTGGGATGGGGGTGGACGTGGGGTGAGTGTGTGTCTCTGTGTGTGTGTGTAAAATGTTCGTACGATAGCGGTGTCTCGTTTGCTCTGCTGTCTCTGATGTGACACACCAGTGCTCTGCTGGCCATCAGTCCATTCTGTCTCAGCTGCGTGGATGCTGGCCGGTGCACTGTTGATGTGTCATGGCAGAAGACAGGTAGGCTAACGCACCGGTGTCTGGGCACACTTGTGTGCGCAGACGCCCCTCTCCCTCCCTCTCTGTACGTATGTACATATTACATATTACATATTGTGTATTGTATGTGCGTATGTGCGTATGTACGCTGACATTGATTGCTATCTACCGGTCTCTGGAGGCCGCTCGCTGCGTAGGAATGTGCACACGTCGGTATTTGTCTATCGTCTGTAACGTACGTATTTCACATGCACGCATACGAAACCCCTTTGTACACATCACATCCATGAGGCCTTTTCCGGTTTTTATCTTGCTTGCGTGCCAGTGCATTTAAGACGTCCGTCTTGCATGACTCGAGCCCTTGACGGAGCTGGTGTCTTCACACAGACAGAGGGACAGACGGAGGGGCGAAGGGCAGACATCGTGCGAGACGCACAGCTAGGCGGCTATCCAGCAGCGCACACAGATAGGACAATTTTGCAATCCAATCAATTGCATGAGACCCCCTCCCCATCGATGTTTTGTGAGTCCACGCAGGGCTGCGGAGGAAAGTACGTGCACGCAGATAGATGTGCATCGTGATGAATAGCTTTATATCTCGCCTGTATTGTATGTATGAGTGTCAAGACACTACACAAACGCCATGAATTCACCCTCTGAGTCAAGCCAAAAGACAAAACCACCACCCCAATTGTCTGTCCATCACGCAGGCACGGACACACATATGTATGTTGCAAAAAGCTGTCCCCCATCAGCCCCTCATGATATGATCACTCTGGCCTGAACCGGCCAGTGGTCTGACCCCCCCTCATGCAGCACACGACAATCCACCACATCAAACCCCTTCACAAATATGTGATCGAACAGCTGCGGCGCACAACACAGCGTCTTCGCACAGCACCCCTTCCACGTCGTCCTGCCCCTCCTCTGCTGTCGAGCACCATCCAGCAGACAGTTGGTGAAGCCCATCTCAGCTGTCATGAAGCGCATTGCCGGCCCAGTAGAGCAGTTGAAGTCCCCCAGGACGATAGCGGGGAGCGACGGCGTGTACGCGCCCATATGGGAGCGGATCTCGTGTCCCCGCTGCTGCTGCACGAGGATGGGCACCGATGGCACGGGAGCCTTCAAGTGCACCTGGATGATCTGGAAGGGCGGCATGGCTGCATCGGACGGCGGGTGGACGGTCACGCGGCAGGCGAAGTACCAGTTAGTGTAGAGGCGGGGCAACACGCCCACAGCCGACATCGGCAGCTTGGACAAAAAGGCCAGCCCGCCCTGCCTCCACTTGTCGTGCGTGAAGCTGACGTAGGGGAAGCGCTGCCTGATGGCCGGCCGGGCATTAAGGGTCCTCTCCCAGTCCTCGTTGGTCTCCTGCAGGCAGATGATGTCGGCGTCAGAGTGCTCGATGAACGAGATGGTGTGGCGGGCACACAGGTGCCTCCAGCCGTCCATGTAGACATTCAGGGTCACCACTGTCAGCGGAGAACGACAAGCCGGGCCGTCTTGCATTGCGAAAGACAAAGATCAGAGGCTGTGGCGCTTTCGTGATGCAAGGGGAGGTGGAAGGGCACCAGGGGAAGCCAAAGATCTTGGCAGATCTCCCTCTGCGAGTAGAGTGTTGTGATTGTCCCGTCGCAACGGGAGCAGTTTCACGGAATAACCTAGGCGCTGGCGGCTAACCCATGTCTTTCACGCAAAGAAGCGGCTGTTTCCCCGCAAGGCAAGGAGAAGCGACAGGTCAAAAGAAAAAATCGCATTCGCCCGCCGTGGAGAATCCATCATGCAGCTGGGGAGCATCTTCTACGCATCATTCAGCTCCGTGCTGCAGGTAGGTAAGGTCACACACAGAGCGCCTCGCATCTTGATCTGAGTCATCCATCTATCATTGACTCGCTTGCCGTACTACTTGTATACTGCAGGTCTTTCTGCTATGCAGCCCTGGTTTCCTACTGGCGTATTTCCCAAGGAAAGCGCCCATTCTCTCTCGCGGGCTGCTGCAGGAACTCTCCCGGCTGTCGATGCTGCTCTTCCTACCATGGTAAGGGGACAGAAGACCCACCCCGAACACTGCATGTCAGGTGCATCATGATGTGTCTGTGTGGGTGGTCAGCATGTGTTTCGTGAGCTTGGCATCCACCGTGGATGTGCGTGAGCTGGAGGCTTTATGGCCCATCGTCCTGTGGAGCCTCGTGACGCTGCTGACCAACCATCTGACCGCAGTTGCCCTTATCGCACTCTGGCGCACGAGAGTCAGGGAATTGCCCAAGGCCACCACCTCGTGTGCTGTGACTTGCCTGACCTTCCAGAATGGCATCAATTTCCTTCTGCCGCTGATGCGGGCGCTCTGCCAGACGTCTGATGCGCTTGGCGAGTGGGCGGGGTCGGCGGACAGCTGTGAAGATGAGGCTGACTCCCTGCTCTTCATCCATGGCATACCCTGGTACTGACGCGAAATGGATGGATGGATGGCACACCACACCACACCACACCACACCACCATTAGTCAGCCGAGACAAACAAACACGTCAAAGCGTGTGATGTGTTCTGCGCGCGTGTTCTGGTGTCTGTCAGGTTCTTCGTGTTTTGGCTGCATGGGATGCCTGCGTTAGAATCACTGGCGGCGCTCAGCCGGCGAGCAGCAGCTGCAGCCTCTTTGTCGGATGGCCAGTCGTCACCCGATGGCTGCGCGTCTGTCAATGAAGCCACGAAGCTCCCCCTTTGTCGCGCTGCGTCGGAGCCGCCGCCAGTGCTGCCAATCCAGCATACCAAGTCTGTGCCGCCACCATCAACGTGGCGCCCTGACCACACGCAGGCGCCGCATTTCCCGGCCGGCCCCTCAACCGATAGCTGCACCCAGGACGCCGCTGAGACGATCGACATAGTGCCGTCCAACAGCAGCAAGAATGGCGATAGAGATGGGGACTCGGGCGATGAGGAGGAGGAGGAGGAGCAGCAGCGGCAGCAGCGGTGTCCTGGTGCAGCCGGCAAGCGCCACTACCTGTTCCCGCCCGCGTTGAACAGGCTTCGGCACCCGGCTATCATCGCAACCATCTTGGGCCTCTTGATGGGACTCTGGCGAGACTTCCAGGTGAGTGGCACGCCCCGTCGCCCCCCCAGTGAATATTCAATCGGTGCCTGTGTTGCGTTGCGACCTGCATGCATGGCATGGCATGCAGGTGTCCATGTTTGAGGATACGAGTAGTTTCTTGTCTGTCTTTGGGCGTGTTGGGAGGCTAATCGCCGAGCCCACGGTGACGTTGATGTCCCTGATCCTCGCGGCCTCGCTTGCACACGGCGTGCAGCACGACACCGGCCGCAGCAACAAGGACAGCAGGCACCAGCAGAGCGGCAGGCCGCAATGCCTCTCGCCGGAAGCGCTGTTCGTGGTCTTCTGCTCCGGCATCAAGCTTGTGGTCGTCCCCATGGTGGGCTGTGGGATGCTCGTGCTGCTCGAGTACCTGCATAGCGCCGGGTATGGCTCGTGGGTGCGCACACTGGTGCCGGACAGCCCGGTCTTCAAGCTGGTGCTGCTTCTGGAGTTTTGCGCGCCGCCTGCCTTGGCGCTCTCTGTGGTGTCCAACCAGCTCGGTTTGAGGGAGGAGGCGGACTTTCTGTCCAAGCTGCTGTTTTGGATGTACCTGCTGTCGCTGGTCACGGCAACGCTCTTCTGCAGCCTGGCACTGGCTCTTTTAGTGTGACTGACGGCGGTGCGGTATGGGTGTGAGGTGAGGGTGGGGGGGTTGACTGTGTGTGGGGGAGGGGGAGGGGAGTGGAGGGGATGGGGGGGACTCTATTTGAATGGCATGACGCCGGTGAAGTGCTCTGTCAATAACGCTCATCGTGTCGCATTTTCTGTGTCGGCGTTCTTCATGTGTCTGTCCGTGTGTGTGTCCGTCTGTGTGTGTGTGTGGCTCGTGTGAGAGAGAAGGGGGCGCCGTTTGTCGGCCTGCAGAGAGAGAGAGAGAGATGCAGGTATGTAGTACCTCTTAAAAGAGAGGGTGTCTGATGCGCATGTGCATGTGTGTGTGTGAGCGTGTTCATTTTCCCGCAAGAGAGAGCATCGCGAGCACACCAATTTGAATGAATGAACCGATCGACCATGGATGCTGGCTGCGTGTAAAGGGTTTTCCCAGTCTACCGTCCGTCCACATCGCTGCCGCTCGATCGGGATGCATGGCGTAGTGCCTGGAGGTGAGAATGAGAGCGTCGCGTTTTTGCGGCTTCAGCCATCCATGAGAAGTGAGGCAGTCAGTGTCTTGTGAAGCTGGTGTGGTGAGGCGGGGGGATTTTGTCGGTACATTATTGCGTGTGTGTGTTCGTGTCCGTGTCCGTGTGGATGGGAGAGGGAGAGGGAGAGCGGGGGGGGAACGAGAGGGTGTTCTCGAGACTCATGGATGGTATGGGTGACTTGGCCCATTCATGCGTCAATCGCCATCTTCCTTCCTTGGTTGATCATTTCACATAGGACGAGAGGTTCGCATCCAAATCGTCCATTGCCAGCCAGGCAGGCAGTCATCACTATGGCACTAAAGGATCGAAGCCATCACACAAACGCCCTCATCCGCCCACCCCGCCACCCGTCCGCCCACCCGATCAGATCATCTATCTGTGCACATCATTGACTAGACAACAACACAACACGCGACACAACACACCCCCACACGCCAGCTCTGTCTGCCAGACGTCATTCATGCATGTGGGTCGGTGCGCACAGCATGAGATGAGCGAGAACATGCAGCCAGAGAGACAGGGAGAGAGACAGAGACTAAGAGAGAGATTGCTGCAAGCAGCAAGCGAGAGGACGTCGACAAAAGTATGAGTATTGCGAGAGAGAGGAGGGCATGACGGCAGGCAGGCAGGCGGGCAGGCAGGTAGGCAGGAAGGCGGGGATGACGCTAGTGCCTAGACTTAGCGATTGGTTGACCGGCAGCCACTCCCCACACCACCACCGCACCACACCGCAAGAACAAGCGCAAGGCAAGCAGTCGAAGAAGCAAGAGGCCCTCCCTTTTCCCTCCACTCCACTCCTCTCACTCTCAGCCCCCCCACCCCAAGACAGCAAAACTGCCCCCAGCCGCCCCGCCCACCAGACACGTACGTCACAGCAAGAACGATATGATCGATTCCACACACACACACACATACACACAGCAGTCGATTCGATAGACTGACGTAAAAAGATAGGAAAGGTGTAAGGGGAGAGAGGGAGAGAGAGCGAGTTGGTGTGCCCAGATGGGCATGCATCATATCGTCACAAGATATCCATGCCATGACAGTACCCACCACCACCACCACCCAGCACGCTTTACGGCCGGTCTGGCCGTTGTTTTGCCCCCACCCCGCATGTGCCTCAACCCCGTTCGTAGCAGCTGGTAGGTGTGGGTGAGTGAGTGAGCCGGCCGATCGATCGATCGATCGATCAATTGGTGGTGCATGGGATGAATGGATGCTGGCAGAGAGGGGGAGAGAGGGGAGGGGGGAGGGGGGAAGGAAGAGGCACAGACGAGGGTCCCGAGAGAGACGCACAAAAGCATCTAGCTAGCAACTTACATATAGAGAGAGGCAGATAGGGGCTTTATGGGGGGAGGAGGGCATCTACGCTTATACTTACCACAGATAGACAGACAGACAGACATTGTGACAGTCACACACACGGGTGGTGGGCTGTAAATATTACGGATGAATGGAAGGAAGAATGGGAGAGAGCTTAGCTGCTTATATATTGTATGCCATGGCAGCCATGGCATGTATGCAGGCAGGCACGAAAGGTGTAGCGTAACCGTCACGTATGAAAGCACATGCACCACATGTAACTGTGTCTATGTGTGTGTGTCCGTGACGTGCAGTCAGCCGCCCACCCACCCATTCACTCACTCGCTCACTTACAAACCGGTCAGTCAGATCACTCACTCGTGGGGCCTCGGCGCAATGGAAAACCTGGCTCATCGATCCCACACCGCCCTCTCTCTCTCTCTCTCTTTCTCTCCCTCTCGTGTTCAATGCGCTCGAGCGTCACTTACAGACGTACCCACACAAACATGACATAGACATGACATACCCAGACACATGTTGTTAGCTAGCGTCTTCACTACTGAATGAGCTGAGCAACCGAACTCGTAAGGGAACAAAAGCTCAGCCACCATCACACGACAGACACGACATGTACGTTAGCACACAACACACGGTCAGCCAGGCAGGCAGGCAGGCAGAAGGAAGGGAAGAAGGAACGAGGCGAGGCGGGGCAAGGCCTCCAAGGAAAGACAGAGCAAGAAACGGGCAATAATTGGTCGTCGATTGGCTTGCACGTGGCAACGCATGCGACAGTACTTACAGACATAAGACGCTTCAACACACATAACAGACATACAGAACATACATCCACATAGATAGGTACACTTACGTAATGAATGAATGAAGCCGGGCAGTCGCCAGCCAGCAAGTGGGGCCGGCCGTGGCCGGCCGTGGCAGGCAGGTGTGGGCAGCCATGACAGAAAAACGGCCGCAGCAGGCAGGAACCAAACCAAAAAGGGCGTGGATGGGGCCCGGCCCTAATCCCATCCTCCATCGCTCCCTCACTCACTGACCCCTCTTACTTAAGACCCGGCTGTGGAATACTGTCATCCCATCCGTCTGCAGTGTAGATGTGCGTTTCCCTCTCCTCCTCTCTGACCCGCCCACCCCACCCGGCCCCGTTAGGTAGGTAGGTACGCATGCAGGATGCATCTAGCTATTGAGCTTCCTTCCTTCCTTATCTATCCTCCCTCCCTCCCTC